CGGGCTTTGTAGATTGAACGTTGAGATGTATAAGGGGCACGGGGTGACCAATAAGGCCTGAATTGGTCTGTAATAAGGTTGGCACTGATAAGGGGTTGACAGGCATGCACTCCATTTACATTGTCAAGCTCGTACTGCTGTCAGTCCATCTCCCTGATAAGTCAGTTCACCTGGCAGCGCATCCACATGCGAGCCAGTTCATCTATCCAAGCTTCTATCCACTTTCCCCTTCAGCTGCAGACCGTCAAGCGGCACCAGCCAAGGCCTCGGGCTGCCTGAGACCACCACCACCCCTCCCTATCCACCACTGCAGTGACTCAGCAGAAATCTCAGCGGCTCAACAAAACAAAAACAGCGCAGCACACACGCCCGGCGTGCACGCTCCTGTAACCGATGCCAACAGCCGCTACCCAACCCCAGCACTGGAGTAGCTGGGCGAGGCTTCACACACTTGGGGGGGGAAGAGGATGGAAATAGAGACAAAGATCCCCCGTATAGCCTGTAATAGACTGTAGGGGCAAGTGCTGTTAGCGAGTAGCACTTATGAAGGCCGGCGCGGCACGCAGGGGGATGGGTTGGCCAGCACCACACCCGGCAGCCTTTGTCTCCCTGGTGGTGATGTTTCACATATCGCACCAGGTACTCATTTGAGGCCGAGTCCACGTAGGGGAGGCACAGGACCGGTCCAGATAATCGTCACTGGTGTTGGTGGCCGTGAGCGGAAATTGAACCCGGGTCGCCGGGTTCGTAGTGCAGTACACTCACCGCTCACCGACCCATCCATCGACCCACCAGTCCAACCATCAACCCAACCAGCCACCAGTCCAACCATCAACCCAACCAGCCACCGGCCCAACCATCAACCCACCCAGCCACCATGTCACTCCCCTGCCAGCGTGGAAATCGATCGCGGTTGCATGTGAATAAATGAATGACTCAGCCCGCCTGCAATGCAACAACAATGAACCACTAAATACTCGGAAGGCGCCTTGGACGCGCGCGCGCTCCGTCTGTACGTGGGAGACAGACGCCACCCTTTCGCAGAATGATGAAAAGTGAGCGCAGGGCCAGGAAACCGAGGCCGTATTCTGCCGATCGTGAAACGCACTTTCTACCCCCCCCTCCCCTCTGAAGGGTGGTGGTGTGCGTCTTCTCGTCCAGAGAATACGGTGTCTTCTGGCCTGCACTGACATGCCCCCCCTATCAGATTATAAGACGCGGGCCCCCCCCCCGACTTTTCTTTTAAACGACCGGGAGAACAGCGTGTCTTACAATTGGGAGGGACACAGCAAATTCGAAATTCCATTAAATCTTTGAACCTTAGGATTGAAGGCGCGCTACTAAACGTCGCCGGGCGTGGTGGTTGCCCTTCATAGGCGCTACCCGCTAACAGTGCTTGCTCCGACAGTCAGCCAGGGCTATACGGGAGACCTTTGTCTTTGTGACACACATTGCCATGGCTTCCCCTTGGTGGCCAAAGCGAAGAGTTGGGCCCCCGTCCCGGACAGCCGCCATGAGATGCGATCAACAAGAGAGAGTCAAAGAGCAAAGCACTTCTTTAAAACGGAGTTCACATGTCCGAGCCGTGTGAGCGTAAGCGACGATGCGATGAAGCCAAGAGCAGTCCGCGATACAGAACAGCCTCTAGGCTGCGACCGTGCGAGACGAATTCAATATTGGGGGGGGGCCCCACCTGAGCGATTGCCGCACCCCCCTGAGCTGATAATCAGAATATTTATTGATAATGGAGGAATCCGATGAGCTATAAAGCAGGCAATAACGTTACATCAACAATCAATACAAACGCATACTAGTAGTGCAACGTACAAACAAATACAGGAAAACCTTGGATTGCGAGCATAATTTGTTCAGGAAACGTGTTTGTAGTCCAAAGCACTCGTATATCAAAGCACTGGTACATCAGTTGTGATCACGTGACGCTCGGCAGACAAAGCGTATACTCGTACTACTCGTATTGCAAGACCGCGCTCGTTTATCAAATTATAATTTATTTAAATGTTTTGCTCGTCTTGCAAAATACTCGCAAGACCAAGTTACTCGCAATCCAAGGTTTTACTGTAACGCTAAACCATCCCCCAACCTACCAGGCAAAGCCCACTGAGGAATTCACTTATTTTTCAGAAGCGACCTGACCTCCACAAATTATAGCTCAACAAAGAGGCCCATCATTTGGGCATTCATAGCGTGCCAGCCTTCATAGTTGCTGCCACTCGCTAACAGCACTGGCCCCAAGTCTGTTTGAAGTTTAACACGTGTAGCTTTCGCGACCAATATCATCCATAAGAGGTGTTTTTTGGGTTAGATCGCGTCAATATGAATGTGTCATTAAACTCGCCACCACCCGACACAGCCAATTAGTAAGGTTTGTCACGTGAACAGAACATGCCAATTCGTTACTCTTTTCGATTTAAAGCTTTCGTGACTGCAGGGATTCATATTCTTGGTTCTTTCGGTAAAGTCACGTAGAAGGGAAATAATAAATAATAATAAAATAATGATGTAATATAATATTATTTTGTAATATAATTTTAATATATTATTTTATTTTTTCCCTTCGACGTGACTTCACCGAAAGAACCAAGAATATCAATTCGTTACTCGTACAGCACACCGGTTGTGTGTTGGTAGAGTAAACCCACAACACTTACAATCCGAGTTACGACGGTTCCCCACTTATTACAACCAGCATCATCAGGCGACAGCCAGATTTGTAGAGAAATCATCCCGTAGACGGGGGGATAAATGTGACGTCGTCACTTGTGAGCCAATCAGATGCGAAGACACGAAGTGGTGGGGGGGGGGGGGTGTTAAGGCTACACCGGCGGATGGATTGGACGCTTCTGTTGACAACAGAACTGGGTGAGGGCACCGAGATTGTACCAGCTCCGAGTGGACCACAAAACCCTCGTGGCGAGGTGACCGGCTCTCGGAGGGAGGCTTCACGCGCCGACCCCGCCGGACGTGGCGAAGGTTGACGATGATCGTGACGGTGACGATGATTTTAGGGAGGGAAGGCGGTGATTCTAAGCGGAACCAAACGTCCGCTCCTGCTAGATTATTTTTCTACTGCCGATTATTTTGTTGCTTCTTCTGCTGCTGCTGCTGCTGCTTGACGATTCTTTCGATTTTACTGCTGATAATTATTCCACTGTACTTCTGCTGATGACGATTACTCCGCCGCTGATGATGATTCTGCAGCTGCTGCTAATGACAATTAGTCTGCTGATGATGATTCGGCTGATGATGACTCTGCAGCTGCTTCCGTCGGTGATAATACTGCTGCTACTGCTAATGACAAAACATATTCTGCTACTGATGATGACTACAGCTATTGCTAATGTTAATCACGACTCTACCGCTGTTCTTTCTTATGATTCTGCTGATAATTCTACTTTTGTTTCCTCTGATCACAACAACAGCAGCATTTTATAACACAGCAACCCACAAAGACGATTACCCCAGAACACTAAATACTGTCGGGGTAAGTGCTGCTAGCGAGCACCTACTCACCAGCAACCCACCAAACAAGAACAAAGATCCCCCGTATAGCCTTAACAGACTCTCGGGGCAAGAGCTAATTAGCGAGCACCTATGAAGGCTCGCTAACAGCACACACAGCACACGATCGCTCCAACGTTTCACCTGCTCACGCCATCGTTAACCCCCCCCCACACACGTCTATCCCTTTCGAGATTTGAAGCTTTCGTGACTGCAAGGATTCATACTCTTTGGTTGTTTTCGGTAAAGTCACGTAGGGGAAAAAAAGAATAAAAATAATAGAAATAAAATAATAAAATATTTTGTTTCTATTATTTTCATCATTTATTTTTTACCTACGTGACTTTACCGAAAAAACCTCCAGAGTACGTCTATCCCTCCCTGTAAAAGTTCCACAGGACTGTGTGTAAACCCTCTGTCGCACGTCCGCAGGCAACTTTCACGACACAAACTTCACGGCGCGTACCTTGCATAGCCCACCCGCAGACACACACGGCTCATCATTCACCAGTCGCCAAGGCCCCAAGGCCAAGCAAGACCCCCACGACGTCACCAACGGCGCCTGTGCCAGGCTACGTGCACTTTGAGGCCACGTGAAGGTGTCGAAGATGCCTACCTACTACTCCCCTCCCCCCACACACACTCACACACTTGCACCATATACACACACACGCGCCAGGGACAAGAAACAACTTCCTCCGATGGGAGTTCAACACGTGTCGTGTCACGCGGGGCTAATGCGCGGGGTGAACGCAGGTCGCACGGATCTAAACGGACAAGAGGCAGCAAGACACTCACACACAAAGACAAAGACCCCCCCCCCCCCCCCGTGTAGCCTGTAACAGACTGTCGGGGCAAGTGCTGTTAGCGGCCGGGCGTGATGCTGACCATCAACCACCCACTCGTGTGCCGTGCTGGCCTTCATAGGTGCTCCACCCACACACACAGACAACACACACACATACACGCCCACACACCCACACACAGACAACACACACACAACACAACACACACCCACCCACACACAACACACACCGCTACCATACAGCTATGCCAGACAGTCGCACACAGCTAACATGGGAGATAACAATGCCCAATCAACACCCAGGACTCAGCAACACCGCAACCACCCAGCCACCACCCTCAACAACACAGCCCCCACCCAGCCACCACCCTCAACAACACAGCCCCCACCCAGCCACCACCCTCAACAACAACAGCCCCCACCCAGCCACCACCCTCAACAACACAGCCCCCACCCAGCCACCACCCTCAACAACACAGCCCCCACCCAGCCACCACCCTCAACAACACAGCCCCCACCCAGCCACCACCCTCAACAACACAGCAACCACCCAGCCACCACCACCAACAACACAGCAACAACCCAGCCACCACCACCCGGACTAACAACACCGCCACCACCCACCCACGCAGCCACCACCACCGGGACTAACACCGCTGCCGCACAGCGAACTCACCGGCCGCCTGACCGCACGAGGCACAACCTTCCCGTGGCGTTGCCGGCCACGGCACAGGAATGACGATGCAGTGGTGGTGGTGACGACGAACAAGACGGATGGTAGTAGTGGTGGTGGTGACGAACAAGACGGATGGTAGTGGTGGTGATGACGATGACGAACAAGACGGATGGTAGTAGTGGTGGTGGTGGTAGTGGTGGTGGCGGCCGTGGTGGGCGGAGCGCAGCTGCGATCACGAGGGGTTGGTGACTCGGCCCTTAAATAGAAACCGGGGGGGACTTTCCCCGCTCGTGTGTTTGTTGCTCGAGGGGGCAGGGGCGGAACGGCAAACAGCAGCAGCAGCCGGCCAACTTGAGCAACACAAACGTAGATCGGGGAAGCCGCCACACTCACGATGGTGATGATAAGTAGAATGGTACAGGAACATTGGTGGTTGTTTGTAACCGGTAACAAAATTATACTTTCGTTGTTTTGTATCGCGTCAACAGCATCCTCAACGCTGTACTATTAATGAGATTTAAAGACAAAGACATTCCGTATAGCCTTAACAGACTGTAGGAGCAAGTGTCGTTAGCGAGCACTTATGAAGGCACACGAGGGGGTGGGTGGCCAGCACCACGCCCGGTCGCCTTTGTCTCCCCAGTGGCGATGTTTATACACCGCACAGGTACTCGTTTGAAGCTGAGTCGACCTAGGGGAGGCCCAGGACCGGTTCAGATACTCGTCACTGGTGTTGGCCGTGAGCGGGAATCGAACTCAGGTTTCGTAGTGCAGAGCGCTAACCACTTCTCATAATAGAAAGAAGCCCAACACACACAGCAAGCAAATGAAAACCCTACCAAGCAAAATCCAAAAATGAATAAAATTAACAAATGGCATAAAACAAAAAACAGAAGCGTCAAAAAAGTTCTCAAAACAAATAAAAGTGATAAAAAATTATGAAAATATTTTAAAAAATCGAGCCTTTCCAGCATTAAGAGGCGTTTAGATGTTCAAACGCCAAATGGGACACCTATCATCATCATCATCACAAAGATACCAAGTCCGCATTAACCACACAAGCTTGCAGTAAAACACGCAAACCAAACGCGCATTTGTGCTGTCATGTCGAGAAACACAGAGGAGGCCAATCAGTTGCAAAGACAATTTACAACATTATTACCAAAGCACGGTGATAATATAATTGACAACAAGGGTGGGCATCCCTCGATTTTACAAACGTTACTTTTTAACGAAATTCCACGCCGCAGCGTATAACAAATTGCCCCCGCGTCGGCGAAATGTCACTTCGGTCCACGACCGTGACATCGTGAAAACCAGAAGCAGGGCGTGAGGCTGCCGTCACAACCAACGGCCGTCGTTTGCGCGGTGGCAGCAGTGACGGCCTCCTCCATCCACATCGCCATTACCCAGCCATTCCAACATGCAGGAGATCTTGATCTTCTTGGTTCTTTCGGTAAAGTCACGTGACTTTACCGAAAGAACCAAGAAGATGAATCCCTGCAGTTACGAAAGCTTCAACTCAAGATCTCCTTAAAGCTTTCGTGACTGCAGGGATCCATACTCTTTGGTTCTTTCGGTAAAACCACGTGGGTAGAAAAATTTATAGATTGCGACGTTTCGATCGCAAAACGTGAATTTACCTAAAGAACCAGAGAGTATGCAAGGAGATCCTTTTTGGGGGAGTTCCCTGAAAAGGCAAATTTATTTTCTTTCCCAGTAATTATTGTATGTTTTTTTTTTATTGTGAAAAGTGATATACAGGGACTCCTCTACTTAGGAACGAGTTAGGTTCAAGAGGTCTGTCCGTAAGTTGATTTGTTCGTAAGTCCAACTTTACTCCTGTCGATTCCAAACATGTTGTACGGCATGCACACTAAACACGGAGAGTGGCTTTAAAAGTCGTATAATCTCCTGTAGATGTAGACGCCACTGGCTCTACACGTTCTGCATATGCAGATGCCACCACCGCAATTTATTACGCGGCGATTGACCTTACGACTTTCGGTCCGAACAAGCAACTGGACATAGGGACAGATTTGAAGTTTTCGTGACTGCAAGGATTCATACTCTTAGGTGTTTTCGGTAAAGTCACGTAGGTAAAAAGAAAATGATAAAAAATGAATTTTTATTATTATTTTATTTCTACTATTATTTGTATTATGTATTTTTTACCTACATGACTTTACCGAAAAAAACCTAAGAGTATACATAGGGACAGGTTTGTTCGTATTATCTGAATTTTCGTAAATAGAGGAGTCACTGTAGGTGCATATTTTTTTTTCCGGTTAGGAGTAGAGTTGAAATGACTGCGCAGACACACATCCCTAACTTTTAGTGTTAAATTAATGGGAAAAGCCACCAGGTTTTATGCATCTGTTTTGGTTAATGCATCCCTTTCGTAAAATCGAGGGATACCTGCATTGCCCTTTCTTTCTGTGTGTGGAAATCCACAGTACAAAGTCAATTCAAGAACATGTACGTTGAACTTCTTTCGCAACCGTACGAAGTGAGCCGTGCTAATCGGAGGTGCGGGGGACAAGAAACTAAAAAACTGTTTTAAATAAATTAGTTTTAGATGCAAAAGTAACATAAGCCCCCACAGTGGCTTCCTAATATCGGAAGAGCGTTCCAGACGGCCGCAGAAGCGCATCTGAAAGCGCCACGCGATGCGCATGGTACAGATACACGGGGCGGTTCGTACAACTCGTCCAGAGTTTCCGTCTTTGAACAAATGCTGCAGCTGCGTGATATTCGGACAGAAGTCATTCAGGCTGATGGACTGACAAAGATGCTTTATGTTGGCACGTAGGCTCTCACGACCAATATTATTCATAACAAAGGTTTTGGGTGGAGATCGTGTTATTTATAATGTGTCGCAACCCTCCACCACCCGACACGGCCAATCAGTAAAACATTAACCCGTAAAAACAAAGTTTTTCACTATAAATCCTTTATATGCGTGATGGCCTAAGGTCCTCTCGTCCTCTGGCTTGAGATGGCTGCCACCTATGGGTCAGATGATTGCTGCCACCATTAAGCAATTGGTAATTAAATATAATTTATTTTTTCCTAAAAAGTGTAAAATTTTAGAAATGTTTTTTCACGAAAATGCATTGTCGCGCACAACGAGTTTGTGTGCAAAATGTCAGTTCGATTGGATCACGGGAAGTGGGTTTAAAAAAACGACCGAAAGATTTGCACGGTCGTAAGCGCGCAAGCAAGCAAGCGAACTTAATATAAAGGATTTAAAAAATGTGGCACGTTGACCAAAAGACGAATAGTTCACTACTTTAGCCCACCGGTGTGTTCAAGAGTGATTCCACAACATTTACAGTTTTTTTGAGTACCACGTTTCGCTGGTAATTACATTACTGGCCAAGACTAATTAGAGAATCCATTGAAATTGAGAGAAATAAATAACTATAATCGCTGACAGCCACAGGCTTAGTGCGGCCTGGAAGCGTATTATTAAATAATACATTACAATTACTTATAGGGGAATTACATATTGATTGCAAACGAGTATATTATTACAATAACCCCCCACCCTCCACTACCTGACTTCTGCACCTGATTGGGTAAAGTGATTGGGTTCAGTTATTAAATAATACACATTACAACTAATTACTAATCTACAACTGATTACTAATCATAACAATGCACTGATTACTAATCCATCATATAATTACAATACCCCCCCTCCGCCTCTGATCTCTGCACTCTGATTGGGTTAAATGATGACATCACCCTGCTGCGAGATTAAAGATCGGGAGCAGGTGGAGGGCTTCACCATTCTGGCAAATTGCCTGATGATGCTGGATGTATTTACCAGCGAAACGTCGTACTCAAAAAATTGTAAATGTTGTGGATTCACTCTTCAACACACCGGTGGGCTAAAGTAGTGAACTATTTGTCTTCGATGTAAAGCTTTCGTGACTGCAGGGATTCATATTCTTGGTTCTTTCGGTAAAGTCACGTGACTTTACCGAAAGAACCAAGACGATTTGTCTTTTGTCAACATGAAACATTTTTTACTGATTGGCCGTGTCGGGTGGTGGAGGGTTTCGGCACATAAATAACGCGATCTAACCCAAAAAAAACCTTTATGATGAATGCTTTATTTCATTCACGTGTCGAGACATGGGGAGGTGATCTCTGCTCGGATTACACTGGTCAACACACTTTTTCTGGCATAAGGTATTCCAACGGTTTTAAGGTAATTTTGGGGTGCTGATTCCAAATCTGGCATCAGTTTTTGTCTATCACATCAGGTTTTTGAGATATCAAATATTGCATTTTCAATAAAAACTGCAGAAGAAAAATATTAAATAAATGTGGATACCTACATAAAATGATATTATAAACACACACTATCCTAAAAATACAGCACCATATTTTAACACTAAAGCAGTCACTGACTCGCAACAACTTGCAATCATAAGTGACAGAGTTAATTTCGGGTAAAAATCAATGAAAATGGGGTATGCCGATAGCATAAAAATGAGATGTGATAGAGCAAATCTGAGATCAGATTTAGAATCAGCACCCTGAAATGAGTCTAAAACAGCTGCAAAAGTCCAGGCCAGAATGTTTTTTTTGTTGTTGACCAGTGTATCGGCTGTTATAGGAGGGACTAACAACTGGGTCACCGTGGCACACTCCACGGGCAGGTGGGGTCGATGCAAGGGAGTGATGCACGGGGAAAGAGAAAGGAACGGGAGAGAATCAGAGGTCGCAAACGGGTTTTGATTCCTTACCCGTACCCGGCCGCACCAGGGTCGCAAACGGGTACCCGTACCCTACCCGTACCCGGCCGGGTACGGGTAGAGTACGGGTATTGCGTACCTGATTGCGACCTCTAGGATGAAGCCATGTTGCAGGCGCGGGTGGGTTGATTCTAGGAACTTGAATTGTGAGAAGAGACAAGAAGTTGGGAAATGAGTGACAAACGGTTACTCACCAGTGATCACGGCCTACCCGTACCCGTACCGGCCGCACAGGGTCGCAAACGGGTACCCGTACCC